CCCCAAAACCCCAAAACCCCAAAACCCCAAAACCCCGAATTAAAAATTTAATTGAATTCACCTGAATCAATAAGTACTTTATATGCTATGAAGAATTTAGATGTCCGAATTCATTGTGTTTAGTCTTCTGTGTTCATATGTTCAATCCACTTGCTCCACTCTTCATCAAATTTCTCTCTTTGCTATGTGATGGTTAGGATAGATTCTGAGGAACTTAATTAAAGTATGTAAGAATGAAGACTTACCTTCTCTTTCTCACAGTCTGTGAGTGCAGCATGCTTGATTCCGTTAATGGCTAACTGTTTAAGTTCCCTGAGGTTCAGATCCCATGCAAGAGATGCATAGCAATAGTCTAAAGATACTCCGTATGTATTCCAGAATCCTGGGTCATCTGCTGAGATTGTAATGGGAACTCCTCTATGCATCAGGGACTTTGCTGGATGCCATCTTAAATCAAATGTGTATCCAAGAATCAAATTGCTGACTGGACATACTTCTAAGCAAATTTGTTTCTCTCTAGCAATATCTATCAAATGTGGGTGATTCAAAATAGCGAATCCATGACCAATTCTCTTAGTTCCCATTTGGATAGCATCGTATAAGTTTTCATTGTCTCTTCAGCATGTTTCACCAGCGTGTAAGTATATGTTCAGAGGGGTCTCAGAATTTTCTTGAGCTGCTTGAATTAATTTCTTGTACTTTGTAAGTGGAGGTGTAATATCTTCCTCACAGACTAGATCATATCCAGCAATGATATTAGTTTCTTTCATTCCTTGCAGGCAACATTCAAGTTGAGTGTTGATATGGCCATCCCCAACTATCTTAAGTCCACAGGATATAAGTCTGCAAGAGAAGGAGGGCTCAACCTCTCTTGCCTTTTCTAGGCATCTTTCAAACATTGCTATTTCATCTTGCAGGCTGACTACAACGTGTTTATCATTGAATACGCATCCAAAAATGTGTCTAAACTCTAGAACGAAGACTTTTTCATTGATGGAATCAAGCATTACTTGCAGGATGATCTTCTCCATAAACTTCTCATAGTTATACAGGTCGAAGGTGAGATCAAATTTCCACTGAAAGTTACTCCATATTGTGCTGCTATGTTTTGAGCTCAAATCTTTTTCGTTTAATAAGATTTTCGATCTTATAAATTCATCGAAGGTACCTTCTTTATTCCAGTTTTCTCTCATTTCTGAGGATTTGATGTACCCTTCTTCTGGTTCAAGATCCACAAAGATTTTGAATTTGTTTTCTTTTTCGTTATAGTATACACAATCTTCCTTGGATAGTTCCATTAAGAAATCTATCTTGCAAGAAGCAGTCAGGTGAAGATGTAGGTGTCCTCCTTTTGGCATTTTCTGCAATTTCTCATATAACTTACTCTGTGAGATCACAGGTAGGCTGTCATAATACTCATCCAGGAAAGGAAGCTTTCCATCTGACAATAACTCATCTCTAATTTTTAGAAACTTCTCATTAGCTTTGTTTTCTTCATCAGTAAGCTCTGGGACATCTACACAGAAGTAGTCCTTCCTGTCTTCCTTAATGATGCTTTCTCTTTCATGGTCACAGTCTCCGTGAGAGTCATGATGGGTTTCCCTAGGGTCCATTTTTAGTATTTCTTTACTAGCCTCTTTAAATTGCTTATAGGGGTTTTGGGGTTTTGGGGTTTTGGGGTTTTGGGG